TCTTTCCCCTTTTCACCGGCTCTTCAACCTCCACCTTTTTTTAGGGATCTTCAACCTCCACCTGAAAGAAAAGGACAGAAGTTTCTGTACAGCTTTGGGCTGGACGGCCCATCTCCCGGCCCGTCAGAGGCAGAGCCCGTCATCATCAGCACTCTGTTCCGCACTTCTGCTCCGCGCCCTAACTCGCCGCCTCTCCCTTCCCTCCTCCCCTATCGCCGCTCCTGCTCGCCGGCGGCGACTCCTCCCCCGTCTCCCTGGTTCGGCGGCCGATGGTGGCCATGAAGACGAAGGAGCAGGAGGACGAGGCGCCCGAGGAGCGCGTGCCGCACCTGCCGTGGATGCGGCACCCCGTCGACATCGACTCCTTCTCCGGCTGCCCCGTCACGAGCCTCCCGCGCCTCGACCCCAGGTACTACCATGCCACACCCCATGTCCGTGCTGTGCAGTATTTCTGCTCAGCAATGGCCTGCTGAATTTGTAGTGCCTGAGTCTTCAATTTGACAACGATGGCGCTGTTGCGCTTCACTGGATAGCTTCTTGTGCTGCTACTAGAATTTCTATTAGCATTGGCTGCACTACTTTTGTTCAATGTCATGTGCACTAGTTGTTTCACTTACTTTACATGTTCGATTTCGTCTACTTTGTTTAGCCGCATATTAATTTTGTGTCCTTTAACTCTGCACAAACGTCTTCGAAAATAGCATGTAACAGAGGGCTATGTTTACTGTTACACAGATTGGCGGAAGCGTTGCAGCGGATGGGAATCGAATCTTTTTTCCCGGTTCAGGTTTCGACATGGCTGGAAACCATTGGTCCTGGTGCTTTTCAGAGGGATATCTGTATTAACTCCCCGACTGGATCCGGCAAAACCCTTGCTTATGCCTTGCCTATTGTGCAAATGCTTTCTACCCGGAAAGTAAGGTGCTTGCGTGCTTTGGTTGTGCTGCCTACACGGGATTTAGCATTGCAGGTTTGTGACACTTATTTTACCTTCTACTTCTAGAAACTTGTGTACACTAGTCTATACTGTCAATATCTTATTCCAGCAATTTATCCATAGAAAAACTGATGCATGCTGTTCTACATCGTCAATAGCTATTCCAGCAATGTATTCCATTTAATATTATTCAGTTCATCATGACAAAATGGAAGTGTCTTCTGTTTGTTTGTTCCACTTCAGGTTAAAGAGGTTTTTGATGCTATTGCTCCTGTGGTGGGCTTGACAGTAGCATCAGCAGTTGGTCAATCGTCCATCGCGGATGAAATCTCAGATCTGATCAAGAAGTCCAAACAAGAACTTTACCCATCTCTTGATGATGAATATGTCGAAATGGAACCACAGACTAAAGTTGATATATTGGTGGCAACTCCTGGAAGATTGATGGATCATATCAACATGACAAAAGGTTTCAGTCTGGAGCATCTTCAATACCTGGTAGGTTTGTCGGCAACCATTTCTGTCTCCTCACACTATTCTCTACAATGGATGACTGAGTTCATATATGATGTGCTGATATGTCCTGTTATACATAGTTGAGGCAGTATTGTTTGTGTGCCGCAGTACCATGTAATGTCGAACAGTATGCTGGCAATTGGTTTGGACCAAAGTGCATATGATTTACTTTACCTGGCCTGTATCCAGATAGCAGCATATTTTGGCCCATTTTGGGATGACTAGAACAATTTTCCAGATTCACCACTTCATTTAGACACTTGCTATGGATGTCATTCAGAACCATGTGAGTGTTGCCTCTAGTTGCAACAAGTTTGGCATGTCCTGCTTGTGTTTTTTTTAAAGAATTATTCAGTCAACAGGCCCCCCTATTTGTGCAATTTTTATAGCATATGATGATATAAAACTTAGTCATAGCACTATACTTGTGCATATTAGTATTAGTGTTGCTTACTTGCTTTTGATTTATTTCAAACTTGCGGTTTCAGGTTGTTGATGAGACAGATAGGATGTTAAGAGAGGCATATCAGTCCTGGTTGCCAACAGTTATCCAGTTTACTCGCCCAACAAATCAAAATCATTTCCGGCATGACACTCCTGGACGAACTCTACTGCATCCATTGACCACCATTAGAAGATCGTAAGCCTTGTTCTACGATATCAATTCCTCATGTTATTCTTGTCCTCTTTTATCACTTTATGTTTCAATTGAGGACTTAATTCTACGCTATGGCATCTAGGGGTGTCGAGCGAGGGTTTAAAGGTAAATGCTATCCAAGACTGGCAAAGATAGTCTGCTCTGCTACACTGACCCAAGATCCCAGCAAACTTTCTCAACTTGAGCTGCATCATCCTTTGCTGTTGAATAGTGGGAAGAAGCGTTACAGAATTCCTACAAAGCTGGAGTCCTACAAGCTGGTTTGTCAGCTTTACTGATTGTTGCTTTTATCAATGCTTATGCCTGAAACACGAAGGGGTGTAAAAGGCTATTGTGAACTGTCCCATGCGTTCTTATTGTCCTTGCTGTTATTTCAGATCTGTACATCAAACATAAAACCGCTGTGTCTCATTGTTCTTCTCCAAGAGCTGCGTGGGGAGAAGTGCTTGGTTTTTACTAAATCTGTAGATGATAGTCACAGACTAAGCACTTTACTGGGATTTTTCGAAGACTTACCCTTTAAGTTTAGTGAATTCTCAAGTTTGCAGCGTGAATCTACTCGAAGGTAATTACTCATGTTTGTTTCCTGTTGTAAATCAGAGTTCATTTTCTTGCGCTGGTTGCAGACAGCCACAAAAATAAGTAACTACAAATAACCATCTCTGACTGAATATGCCTTATACAAGCTCCATGGATCATATTTGTTAGAGCATGTGTGTGCAAACATAAGAAAGCGGCATTACTCGTTAAGTTTGGTTATGTTGATGGTGGAATTATATTCTGACATGTCGAACTTAATCTCACCTTGTGATGTTAATAAAACTCTGCTGCAGGAAGACGTTGGCAGCCTTCAAGGAAGGGAAAATAGATGTTCTCATTGGCTCGGATATAATGGCTCGAGGAATACATATTGATGGTTTGAGATATGTTATCAACTATGAGATGCCGCAGTATGTGAAAACATACATCCACCGAGCAGGCCGAACTGCCAGGGCAGGTGAATCTGGTTCTTGCTTCACGTTTTTAAGGAAAAATGAGGTAATACGCTGTTTAACAATAATGATAATTAGTATTTGGTACAATGCTTGCTGTGGTTGATTGATTCCATGATAGTGTACATGATATGTCTATATGTGTAAATAATATGCTGATCTCATCCCTGTATTGCTGGCTAATTTGATTGCTGGGGAACAAACAAATTGAGTGTTTTGATGATATAGAATTTGCTGTAGATAACTGTTACTATCAGGTCTTCCTGATTTGGATCAGGACTTATGAACGAACTAATGATGAATCACCTTGATATTTGTTTTGGAATTAAAACAGACGTGTCTGCTACGAGATGTATAAATTAATCTCAGCATATTCTTCTCTAGTTACATAGGTTGCTGAGTCAAATGTCATGTAGGTTAAAAGATTTGACAAGATGCTGAAGAAGGCAGATGGTTCTAGCTGCATCCTTCGCTCGCTACCCGAGGAATCAATAGATAGCCTTCGCCCAGTTTTTGAGACCGGTGAGATAGCAGTCCTGTTTTAATCAGATTACTATGTTGATTTGCCATCACCCACGCCTTTGATGTTCTTCATTGATTCTAATATTGTCTCTGTTTTCTTTTTTCCTTGCTGGGCTGTTAAAAGCTCTGGAGAAACTGAAAGATAAATTGAAAGGGTCCACGGAACCAGAAGCATCGAAGAAATCCAACAAGTCGGGAGATAAAGTGCCGGGAGCTTTGAAAAGAAAGAGAGGCAAGCAAACATGAAGTGTGATAGATCACTCGGTGTTCTGAATTGTTTTCTGTAAACGTCTTAAATCCCCGGCTGGTACATATATTTGGGGAACTATACTATCCGAAGACGCAGTGCATTTCCCCCCTGTTTGCTTTTCTATATGTAGAACCTCTGTTACCCCTACTGATCAACACGGCGCGATTTGATGATGGACCGTGTAGTTTAGTGGGTTTGGCTGATTTAGTCTGAACATTTGTTGGTAAACCTGAAAATTCTAGGTGCACGTCACAGTAATTTTTCGTGTCTGTCCAACTGACCCCCACCTGCATTTCTGCAGAATTTTTTTTTGTTCCCCTTGTTCAAATGCTACAAGTCGAAGTTGCTTCTCCTTGTTCATCAGAGTTGTCAGTGGCATTTTTTTTTTTGGTTAACAAGCACGGTTGAAGATGCCCTAATATCTTCACCGGATCACGTAATTCACGCATCAAACATCATGGCTTAATATCTTGAGTTCTTGATGCTCTGAGGATGTTCTAATTAACCTTGTTACCACCTGCATCCCAGCCATTGGCACGTAAGCATTTCGCGCATGGCTTGACAGTAAACGCACTATAACTTAAGGTTATCTGACTGGCTGGCTGTCCGGGAAGAACAAAGCGCCTGAAACAGCATATGCTCCCCTGGCTCCCACACGATAGGTTATCTTCCAATTTGTTGACCAGCTTTGCATTTGTACCTTCTATGAAAAACAACTTTGCATTTGTACCGTTTGTTGTCTACTCAAAACTTTGGTATTTTTACGTTCAGAAAAGAAACTTTGATATTTTGGACTCGCGATAAATTTGATTCCTCTTCAGCTTTGTGCAACAAGACGAACGACAGCTCAGCAATAATCTTTGATATAAACAAGACTAGAGACTAGAGCAGCTCGATCATATCCCAAAAGGGAGAAAGAGATATTAGAAGAAAGGCTATTGCATATATAAATAATAAGAACAGGAAAAAGGTAGGGCTAAAGGTTGCATGATTGCACATCATTTCTTCTTCTTATGAACAGACATAAAGGCCAAGAGAAAAAGGGTGTAGAGCTGGCTGGCAATTCTAGCCCCAGAATTCAACCTTCTGAAGAACTGTCCCTGGCTGAAAGAACAGCCGACCACTTCACTGTCCACTGCCGTCCCCGATGGTCCGGGAGCCATCGGTGCCCATGCTGTTCACCAACTGAGGCGACGCAGGGCTACCGCCTTCGTGCAGGGGTCCTCCGGCATTACCAGCAGGGCGGGTGGCGGAGCGGAGCGACGATGAGGTTGCGGAGGAGATGACCGAGGCAAGGGAGATCGGCATCAGGCAGAGCCCCTTGCCCTGCAGGTACTGCATGGCAGTGCCCATGTCCTCCTCCATCAGCCTCGCCACCTGTTGCTCTGTCGCCCGCAAGGTGCTGCCACCATTGTCATCGTCGCCATTGCCGTCGCCGCTGCTGCTGGTCCCGTTTCCATTTCCGCTGCTCTGCAAGGTGGACTCAGGTTTTAGTACAGTGGCAATTGAGCGGATGACTCTTATAGAAAAGCCAATGCTTTCTTCAAAAAACAAGGAGAGTTAATCGGGTAGTTCATCGAGTTCGAGATGGTGGTTGACCTTGTAGTAGCTGGGGTATGTTAAGGAGCTGCCAATTGTCCTTAGTGGACAGTAGCTCCTACAGCCTAACTGCTTGATTGGTAGTTTGGTACATGGTGGTCACTTTTCAGGCGTGTTTTCCTTTTTCCCTCCAGTTCTTAAACCAGAAAGATTCTTCTGAACCTTTTTTTGTTGTGCTGGCATCCACTAATGCTTGATCTGTTCCTTAAGCAACAATCCTTTTGATTTGAATAATGTGGTGCAATTTTTATAGGCGTACTATATTAGTTTAGTTGCAGTAGCTCTTTACTGTGACTTTCAGTCCTCCGAATGCTGAATTTAGATTTTTTATAGGATTTTATATACCTAAATTCTACCGCGTGGACTTGAAGAGGGATCCACCCTAGACAAAAATAATCATCTTTTTCATATACAACCAAAAGCTAAGTGAGTCAGAATCAGCACACCAACTTGAAAATGACAGGATTATGAGTATCTATTCGTACCGGACCGATGGTCAAAAGGCTAACATTCCATATATATACACTTTGTGATCTAACAAACGTAATTAGCGGATTTTAGGGATCAGAACAAGTTGGCCCATGCAAGCAAGCTAGTGTTTGGCTCTAGGCTAACACTTACTAACTATGTACAAGTCGTTGTCAGTGATGTAGGATTCCTCCAAAAAACAATCACATATAAGCTTGTCAAAATGGAAGATCATGTCACATACGTACCTCTGATGACAAGCCAGCAACCAGAGGGCCAACTGCAGCAGCTCCGCCTAATCGGCTCATGCTGAGAACCTGCAAAAATGGGGCATCTGATCAGGGACCATGAGTTCCATCAAGGAGCAAGCTGACTAGCAACATTCAGAAACTTAGCGACTAGCTAGTAGTAACCCAGGCTAGGTGCAGAAAAGCCGAATTATGTACCTTGACTTGAAGCTGGAGGAACTTGACATAATCAATGATCTCGTCGAGCATCGATGCCTTGTCGGTCTGCAACAAAATTCCATCTTGTTATTCCAGTTACAGTGACCTATGTCCGGTCTAGTTCGCATTGTGGCAGCTGCGTCATCTAAGACATGACAACTGATATAAGGTTTTATTCGAAAAAGCCAAGCAATCGACATTCGTTATCGCTCTAGATACCGTGAACAGTGAATAAAAGTTGTGCAAAAAAAGATATCACATGTGCCATTGGAAGCTCCGGGAGTATCAACCGTGGCAAGAAGCTGGAGCACTAGACAACACCCCTGTTCTGTAACCATCACAGAGTCCACGAAAGCGGGTTGTCTCAAAGTCTAAACATGTTTATGTTATATGGAACCCCCCATACATGATACATCTGTCATTCTCCTCATGATGCTCAATATTATAGTTCTAGGAACCTAGTGTTTAGTGAAATTTATCCTGAAGCCCCTAATTTAGTTTTCATTTCCCCTCAATTTGGTGTCGCTGTTTATCTACAATTGCACTAATTGGTACTAGCTGTGGCCTTGGCCCAGACTGATGATGGCAATAACAATTGTCAATCCCCTTGGCACCATGTCTGATCTCTCTTTTCCCTGCTGCTGCCTGCCTTACTAACCTATTACCACCAATCAGAAGTCACTAAATTACTAAGCCAGATCCTCCAACCAAGGACCGACATGTCAACCCTATCCTCTGGATTATTTGAGTGTAAATAACCATACAACTCCAACTACCATGCTTTCCAATTCCATCACGCACTTGCCATTTTACAATCACTTATACTACTGCAAAGATAGCATGGCATCACACGTTATACTAGTATGATACACCAGCTTTACTCTGTCTGCAGCAACGAATAATGCAGGAAACATGGATGCATTTTTCACCAGAATTCAGGGAAGGAAAGCTTCCTTGCTGCTTTGCTTTGCTCAAAGCAGAGAGCGTAAGGAAAAGGCAAAAGCGGGAGGAGGAAAGGCGGGACGTTTCCCTCACCTTGTTGGCGTTCGGGACCAGCTCCTGCAACGCCTTCATCCTCTCCGCTATCCTCTCCCTTCTGAGCTGCAGAGCAACACATGGAAAGAAAATGAGGAAAACCACACGGTTTCATTTCAGGTTCTTCTTGCTGCTGGTGCCAACATTTTGAGCAAAAATGCCAGTAATTGATGTGGAATTGTGAAGATTGTTGCTGGAACAGTGACAAATGCAAAATTTGTGCAGTGGGATTGCGAGAATGTGACAGGTCGGAGTGAAGTAAATGGTCCAGTGAATGTGGAGCTCGAGCAGCAGGAAGTCAAGAACAGTAGAGGATGTAGGACGTAATGATTGGGGGGAGAAGGGGAAGGTGGTGGCGTTGGTCGCGTACACGCTCGGCGATGCTGTGGGGGTCGGTGGCCTGCCCCCTCCTCGCCCGCTGCCGCTGCCGCGGCGGCGCCGCCGCCCCGCCCTGCGCCGCTGGCGGCGGCATTGAGCCGGCCTTCGATGCACGGGGGGAAAGAAGGCAGAGTTCTGTTAGTGCGACTGATGAAACACGGAACAAAGCCAAAGCTGGACGCGGCGGTGGTTCTTGGCTCACCTGCCCGAACGGCGGCTGCGCGGCGCCGGCGGCGTGCATTCCGGCGGCCCCGAACCCGTCGAACAGCGCCTGGTTAGCCCCCTGCAGGTCCTCCCGCGACCGGTCAGTGAACAGAGGCAGCGGCAGGAACCCCCCGCCGTCGAGGCCGTGGCGGGGAAGCATGGCCGGCGGCGGCTTGTCGTCCCCTCCGCCGCCGCTGATCTGGTTGTGGCGGAGGCGGGAGGCGAGGAGGGCGGACTCGTCGAACCCGGGGTCGCCGTCGTGCGGGGGCGCGCCGGCCGCCTGGAGCTCCCAGGGGGGCCTGACGGAGCCGAGCTCGGCCCAGGCCGTCGGCAGCGCGGACAGCATCTGCTCGAAGAAGTCGTCCTGCCCCTGCCCGCCGCCGTGCATTTCGCGGCCGGCGGGCTGCATGGGCTGGCTACTTGGTTCTCGGCTTGCGCGGAGGGAGGGGAGAGGGGAGGAGGAGGAGGGCGCGACGGTAAAGCCGGCGAGGAAAGGTGGTGGTGGTGGCGGCCTGGGCTGGGCTGGGTTGACGATTGCAGAGAGCGAGGCGACAAAGTTTATAAGCTCGCAGAGAGAGGGACGGCTCCGAGGAGTGTCGTCACGATTATGGCTACATGATATTTCTTTTTACTGTGAAACCACGTCATGCTTTTTGTTGTAAACTCTGTAAGGCTGTAACGCGAGTACTTCAGTCAGATTCCAGTCGGTTTCCGAAGGAGTCTATGTATGTATGTATGTATGTATGTATGTATGTATGTACGTATGTATGTATGTATGTATGTATGTATGTAGGAGAGGTTCAACGGTATGCTTCCAAATGTATGAATTTCCACGATTTTATCAGATATAATTCGGAATGCACCAGTTCTACTAGCTATGGGCTCATGGCATTATCCACGGTTCCCTGCTTCTTTGATTCGCAGGATAGGAAAAACACGTGATTGCAGTGACAAGTTCACTCAAGATTTTGTTTCCACCCAGGATTCCTTTGATTCTAAAGATTTTCATAGGAACTTTGGAGGATTAGAATACTTAGGAATTTTTTACATGTTGATTGTTTGATTTATAGGATTGAATTCTATAGGTCTTTTTTTTTCTTCTAAGGATCCCTTTGTATCACATTCCATTGGAATTTAGCATCCACTCAAACCTTTTTGGAAGAATTCTTTGTTTTTCCTATAATGCAATCAAACAAATCAAACATCATGTAGGATTGAGATGAGGATGCCATTCTAATCTTGTAGTTTTCCTATTCTCGCAGTTTAAGGATCGTGCGGTGCGAATCAAAGGCTAATTTTTTTAAAATAATACATTTTTTTATTAATTTGCACAAATATTATGCTAAAAAATAATTTTCAAAAATAATACACCGTCGACCCACGGCAGGCCGACTGGGCCTAGTCAGCCCGCAGCAAGCCGAGTAGGCGCAGTGGGCCAGTAGCCGGCCGACAGCTGGCCCGCCTGACACGTGTCGGCCTCGGATTGGGCTGGCCACGTCGCGAGGGGGAGGAAGGGAGCTGTCGGCGCGGACGCGCCCCTATCAGCCTACCGCGGGCCGATCGGCCTGCTGCTGGCCGATAGGGTGCGGCCCCACAGCTGGCCCGGCTCCCCTGCGGCCTTATCCTCCCTTTCCTCCACGCTCCTCCGTTCTTCTTCTGTTCTTGCTTTCTCCTCTCTCTATACGAAAATGCCTCCAATTTCTACACCTAAATGACTCAGTTTTTTCCGGTTTTGGCACCGTGAATGGATTCAACTTAGTTAGGGCAGCCAAAAGAGGTCTCGATCTACTGATGGGGTAGCTCGTGGTGGTCTTGGTGAGCATTTTGGTGAAGGTGGCGGTGGTGAAGTTGAGGCAGTGTGGTGGAGGTGAAGCTCCGGCAGTTTGGTGGCTACCGTTCGTCGTTCGTCGTTCTTCGTTCACACGCACGTTTCAAGGGTATATTTCAACAAACATTTTATTTTCCGTAGGTATTTGTTAATATGTTTCGATATGGAATAAATTATGTGTGCGATTATTGTTATTTGCTCCGGTAGTATACGTAAATATATTTAGATGCCAACTAATTAGTTGTGTAAAAATGTGTAGTTGCTCCGGTAATATTCCGTACTATATGTGGATGTCAAGTATTTAGGAGTGTCAGTATTTGTAGTAGCTCCAAAAAAAAGGTCCGTAATATAGGCAGTCTAGTCAAATATATTAATCTGTCAATATTTGTAGTTGCTTCGGCAAATATTCGTAATATACTTGTAGGTGTGTGAATTGTATTAGTTGCTCCGTTAATATTCTGTAATATATAGCTAGCTAATATATAGACATGTCTAATATTTGTTAGTGGGGGTATTTTAAGTTGTTACTTAATACTTGTATTTCGTTGTTGGAAAAAAAATAGGTGAGCCGAGATGTCCGATGTAGTGAAGTTCAGATTTTGCTATGGTCCTGGTACTGTCCAAACAACTGAGATGGGAGCAGATCTGAGTGAATTTACTCACATAGATGTGCCAATGAGTGCACCTCAAACATGGTCTGTCAGTCAGTTGAAAGAATGGACTGCGGCAAGTTTAGGTCTTGATACTGAAACACACACCGTCGGTGTTCATGCATTGTGGACATGGTCAAGTTCAATAATTTACTTGTATTTGAGGCCAATAGACCGAGACTCCGATTGGGTACGGTGGTTACAAGGTTGTGAACGAAGGGGATGCAATCCTATTGCTTTAGTGCTTCCCGTCGTGAAGGAGGTCACTGCACATGAAGGCGAGGGTGGCTACGATCCTGGTCATAGCAGTGTAGGGAGGCAGTTATCTATGTCAAATGCTGAAGATGATGGTTACGAACAAGGACAGAGCAGTCAGGTAGAAGGAGGAAATGCTTATGGTTATCAAACAGGGCAGAGTAGTCAGGCTGAAGGAGGAAATGCCGATGGTGATTACAATGGCGAGGTGGATGCTGACGAGGTAGATGGGCACATGCAGGACCAGATGGAATAAGAAGACACCGATGTTTAAAGGGGTCATGCCGATGATTCTGTAGAGTCAGATGAAGAAGAAAATGCAGAGGAGGTCCCGAATCCTGCATCGTGGAATCATGACTTCTCATCTGCAATGACCGTGAATGATGGACATGATTCAACCTGGCAATATCACCAGAACAATATTTCGACGGGTGCTATGTATCCGAACAAGCAAGCCCTGAAGGATGCAATAATTAATTGGGCAATGTCGACGCAAAGGGTTTTCACAGCTCAGGTATCCAGTCAGAAATTCCTGACAATGGTATGCAAGAACGCAGATTGTCCCGCCAGGGTGCACGGCTTTCTCCCTAAGTATGGCACAAGTTGGGTGATAAGTGACTTAGTTAATCACAGTTGTCTTATTCCTTGCATCCCTCAGGATCATGCCAACCTTTCATCGACGCTTATTGCTCGGTTGTTTTACGATGAGATAGTGCAGGGCAAAGCTATGGAAGTGAAGGTAGTCCAGACAAAAGTCTTCGCCAGGTTCAAGTACATAATTTCTTATGGCAAGGCTTGGAGGGCTAAGCATGCGACGCTTGAGAGGATATTTGGTTCTTATTTTGATGCATATGACTCTGTTGTCCAGCTCCTCCACACCCTGCAGTAGCGGAATTTAGGCACCTATATCGATATCCAAGACATGTTCATGCCAGAGTTCCCAACTGTGAGGGTGTTGCATTGTCTCTTCTTCTCTTCCGGTGTATGCATCGAAGCTTTCAGGCATTGCCGACCGGTGATATGTTTTGACGGTACTTTTCTCACAGGCAAGTACAAGGGTCAGATCCTGACAGCCATAGGTCAATACGGCCAAAATCAAGTCGTCCCACTCGCATTTGCTTTTGTGGAGAGTGGGAACATTGAAAGTTGGACATGGTTCTTCAGGCAGTTGAAAATATCAGTTGTGAAGGAGAAGCCCAATGTGTGCATCCTTCATGACAGGCATGCAAGTATACTCAGTGCGATAAGGACACTGACAAACCCAGGCCCTGAGGAACAAGTTCCATGGCAGGACTTGCAGAGCTGTTGGTGCATGCGCCATCGGGGGGCTAATTTTTTCTCGCAGTTTAGAAATAAGAACCCGATGAATCTGTTCAAAAAACTCTGCAAGCAGAACCAGTTATGGAAGTACAATTTGATATGCGACAGACTTAATGTGTGCACGCAGAGACATGTGAGGGACAGGAAAGCTGCAAGAGATGCAGCAGTGAGGGCACATGTTGAAGCAGTAGCTGCACAGTTGGCAACAGGAACAACGGCCGTGGAAGAGGAGCCTGTTGGGCTATGTGACCTGCCAGGCTTTGACCCACCTGGTACTAGGAGAAGGCTTGGGAGGTCGATTAAAACCTTTGAGCAGTGGATAGAGCATGAGCCTCTGGGGAGGTGGTCTTTGCTACATGACACACATGGAGCAAGGTACGGTGTCATGACAACGAACCTCGCGGAAACATACAACTTTGTCCTCAGAGGAAACCGGGCATTGCCACTTACAACCATCGTTGAGGGTATTTTCTATGGCACCGTGAAGTATTTCAGAGATAGACGTCAAAAAGCAGAGCAGCATATCTTCAAAAACCCGAATACACGGTACTGTGAAAGAGTCACGAAGTACATGGACAACAAGATGCAAAAAGCTAGGTCACACACTGTAGTCGCCATCGGTAATTAAGAAAGAAGGTTTGAGGTCCGCTTAGCCAACAACAAATTCGAATGTGCAAATGAGTTGAGGACGCATGAGGTGAAAATTGGTAATGAAGCCTGGCCAACGTGTGAGTGCACATGCAACAAACCGAAATTGCTTCACCTACCTTGCTCACATGTACTTGCTGCTTGCGGGCAGCTTGAAATGGACGCAATATCGTTTGTGTCTCCATTTTTTCTAAAAGAGTCTGTCCTCGATACACTACTAGGGAAAAGCCTATACACAGGATCTTACCAGCAGCGCGCTTTAAAATCAGGCGCTGCTACTAAGTAGCAGTAGCGCGGGTTTTTAACCCTCGCTACTACTAAGTTGATAGCAGTAGCGCTGGTTTTTTACCCTCGCTACTACTAAGCGGTCTCTACCGTGCCCCCCGGGACATGCCATAGTAGTAGCGCGGGTTTTTAACCCTCGCTACTACTAAGTTGATTGCAGTAGCGCTAGTTTTTACCCCTCGCTACTACTAAGCGGTCTCTACCGTGCCCCTGGGCCATGCCATAGTAGTAGCGAGGGTTATAAACCCACGCTACTACTAAGTTTTTACCCCTTGCTACTACTAAGAGGTCTCAACCATGCCCCTCCGGGACATGCCATAGTAGTAGCGAGGGGTAAAATCCCTCGCTACTACTAAAGGTCCCATTTTGAAACTCTACCCCCCCCCCCTCGTGGATCGCCTTTTCAGTTTTGTAAAAAGCAAA